GATACTGAGGCTTATTAGCTGTTGAGTTTAATTAAAAAAGGCCATTCATATGAAAATGGGGGTTCGATAGCGATTGCTGTCCCCAGCAGCTTCCCCCTGTTACTTTTAATTAGACACTTTCTTGATTGACATCAAACCTGTGTGCATGGTGTGTGTTCATTTTGGAGGGCTAGTTTTTTAATGTGCATTCCACACACACTCACATATATATCCACAGCTGGGAGGTCATTATAGCGGGAGGACTGTACATCAAAGTTCACTTTGTCGTCATGAGCTAATTATCCACAGTAGCACAGAGAGCACCTTGTCACTCACAGCCTCAGGTCGCGTTCAACAATGCACAGTAACCTTGTGATTATGAACCGTGTGCTGTGTGTCCAGTGGCACTGCGCTGATGGGAAAGGTGATGAGCTACTTTCTTTTCCTATTTGTCCTCTCCTCCCTCTGTCTCCAGAGAAGAGCCACTCTTCATCTGTTTGCGGAGCACGCTCCAGCTAGTGCTACCTTATTATTATACTGTCAGAGGCACGTGCCCGCTGATAGATGTTCCTCTCAACTGTTTACAACAAGCAGATGATTTAACTAAGACTCCTGCTTCGTCTGACCTCTCTTTCTTTCTCTTCTTAAACAAGACGACTTCATCGGTTGTTTACGATGACTCCATTTTATGGGGCCAAAGAAATAAGGACCTGTGTTGTAGATGTTTAAGGTGTTTGCGTGCGCAGAAAGGTGAAAGTGCAAATTGAGAACCACATGTATAGATGTGTTTTTATATTAAGTCTCTTATCTTACCGTAGATACTGTGCAGCTCAATTCATTTTGTACTGTTTATTTCTACATGCTAGAGCAACAGTGCACAGTATCCTCATATATTTTTGGGCTTCGCTGAGTGAAGCTGTTTCCTGTTAGGCCCAACTCCATAGACCCCAGTCTCCAGCTGAAATGGCCCATGAGGAGTTAGTGCTCTGGAAAGCCGTGCCGTTCCTTTTTGTTTTGCTTTCTGGATGTTTGGGAATGATTTGGGAATAAGGTCCTGATGGCGACAGGGATAGAAGAGCAGGACGTGCACAGTGGACCCAAAATGTTGTTCCAATTACTGCCTTCATTACGGGTTTGTCATCCGCTGTTTTGCGAACTGCAACCTACATTTCGTGCGGTCTAGGAGTTTTTAAAAAAATGCATTCTGATTCTTTGCCGGAGGCTGCAGCAGTTGGAACAAAACACAAGTAGCTACCAATAAAAATCTTCTGTACAAAGTTATATATATATATTTATTTGTGCCATCAGTTAACAAATAACTGAGTTAACGCAACAGCATTAACAGCGGTGAATTATGTTATCGCGCGATTAATGCAAGCATGTATTGTGACTGAAAGATGCGTCACTGCGCTGCAAAAATGTCATATTTTGGGCAGACGAGCGCCTGACATGTACGCTTTGAACGACCCGCATCACCAAATATGCGCCGCTGCACGAGGCTTTCAGCTTCAAAAGATGCATGGCCTGTGTAACAGACATGAAACCGCTCCCACTGGTGATTATGGGACGTCCATCAGGAATCACAACTATCGCCAGGTTCCAGTCCAAACCTTGAAGCTATAGTTATTTCCACTGTGTGTGAATTCTTTTTGCCTTTTTTAGACAATTCAGGTCATTTCTACTCGTTAAATAGTTCTATACACTGTAAAAATATCTCACAAAGGCATGCAGAGATATTTGACAATCCAAAATAATTTCTTATTGGAAGGAATTGGATTATTAAAAGCGTTTTAGCTTCGTCCAATCCCTTTTAAAACCAAATTAAGGGACATTAAGAACAAGGGATTGCAAACATTTTATAAGTTGATATTTCAGGGAATCATAAAGTGAAGATTTAGTTGAAACTACTGCTCTGATGTGCTCAGAATTTGCTGCTTCCTCTCAAATCTATTAAATCACTTGTGTTACTCGGAAGTGCTCTAAGCAACAAAGCACTATGGAACATATATGAAAGAGCCGAATACAGAAATCTCTGCGGCAGAGAGCGGTTCAAAGTATGTGAATACAACATGTGATTGTGGGACACTCCTGAGTTAACTGTGTTGAGGCAAAGCCAGCTGTCTGCTAGTGGTGAAGGTGAGTCGTCCGGACGGATTTACCTGCTCTGCCCATGGCCCCCAGGATACAGTGTTGGAGCCAGGCCCCATGTGCTCCCTTCTCCACAGCACTTAGCAGTGATTAACCCCGGATTCGGCCGGCCCACCTGCCATCTGACTACCATTACAGGCTGCTTATCAGCCTCTCAATCTCTCCACAATAGGACTGGGGCCTGGTCTAGGCCGGGGGATTGGACTGAGGAGGGCTGCCTGCTCTGTTTAATAATAAATCATTAGCTAAATACTTTTGTCCATTTGTGTCATGTTACATGTACTTCAATTTTCTGCTCTGTCTATAGCCATCAATCCTCTGCCGTAAGCCTCCTTCCCACTCTGAACATCACTGCTTCAGTTTCATCCTTGTCGTCTATACTTGACCTTTCCTAGAATTGAATAATTTAAGAAGATTTTTTATTTATTTTTTTATAAATATTGCTCAAGCTTAATTTTTTGTTCAAAGAATGTACATGGCTGTCAATTGAAAAAAATTGACATGCCTTCTGTCTAAAGTGTCCAAACTCGACTGACTTGGAGATTCTTATTCAGTAGGATCTTTTTTCCAGTAGGTTTTGACCATTGACCATTGGCCTGCTCGCTGGACTCGCTGGAGTATATACAAAACACTGCAGCTCGAGTCCTGACCAGGACTAGAAAGCTCACTCACATTAGTCCTGTGCTCAGGTCTCTTCACTGGCTTCCTGCAGCTCAGAGAATAGAGTTTAAAGTCTCTTAATGACCTCGCACCAAAGTACAACCAAGACATGTTGGCGCAATATGAACCACATTGGACTTTGAGGAGCACAGGGACTGCTCTTCTGCTGAGACTCTGAGGAGCACAGGGACTGGCCTCCTGCTAGGTTAATTTGGTCTTCTGATAGATTCTACAAGTAATTTTTATGATGAAGTAAAACCGCGTAAAACTGAAGCACAATGAGCCAAAATTTTGGTTCGGTTTTTGTGTAGCTCTGCATTGCACTTACACACAAACATGTTATTATTATTTTTTAGCACCAAGAGTCATACTTTGGTGATAAGAAAAAAATAACTTTGGTGATTTTTTTTTTTATCACCAAAAGCATTGTTTATTTTACACTTTATCTGACCCAGCGAAGCATCACATTTCAACATGGATTCACTTTTTTTTTTGTTTGACCGATAAATGTTTGACATTGAAATGTTTCTGAACCACTGCAATCTTCATAATAAATAGACCTGTTTTTATGTGTGTGCAGGTCCCTCAAGCGAGAGTGTTTTGCAGTCATGTAGTAGAGATCTATTTGTCTTAAAGTGTGGGAGTCCGAAAGAGTGTGAGGCTCAGCAAATAGAAGGCCTAGAGAGGAGTCACACAAGAGAATTTTCTGTTCTTGATAGCCTGAGTTTTGTTACCGTAATGAGACGAACAGTAACTTATCTCAGTGACTTGTCATGAGGTTGTGGTTTCTGGAGTTTTGTCCTATTTTGTGGTGGACTTGAGTCTGAACCTCCTTGACAGTGGGTTTTTTTAATCACCAAAACAAATGTGGATGTGCAAATAATAAGGGAAATTTACACACGTCTCCCGTTCAACCTGACTGATTTTTATATCTATAGGTTGTATATATTTTATAAGTTTGACGCCAGAATTTGCAATCTGGACAGCATGAAGTAGATAGGTCTTTGTGTGCGTCTAACTTGTATAAAGTGATTATGGACATACTGAGTTCTCCATATTTAGACTTCTTGACGCCCCTCCTCAGCCGCCCTCTGCTTGGGCCTGTTGTAATCTAATTTTCCGCTGACAGAGACCGTGGAGATCCTTGGGTCACGGTACGAGAACCCCCCTCACACCCCTTCCTATTGCTTCGCTGCACACTCACAGTCTAACTAAGAAGTCGCCATGGAACAGACACTGCACATTAAATCTGTCTGCTACTGTCCCGGGTAACCAATCCATAACCCCAGCCTGTCTTGGTAATCACACACAAAGATTACAAACTGAAGACTAGAGGGAAATGCCATTCATCCCCATGCTGTAGCTAAAGCAATATGGCTCACATTTCTCAGCAGAGGAACAAATGTTTGTATAAAATAAACGGCAAGTTGAAAATCAAATGGTTTTCATCGGAATTTAAAGGTATTTGATCTGATGTAGATGTTTGGGGTTGTAAAAGCTGCAAGAGAAGGCCACACCTGGAGAGGTCACATGTCTTGTTGACCTTTAGTAAGTTGTGACCTCACTCGCCACAGTTTCACATCGCTGGGCCTGTCAGCACTCGCACACAGCTGCATACGTAAGCAGGGCCAACCGCATGCATATGAGGTCATTTAAGCAGTGCATTTGACGACAGCTTCATTATTGTTTAATTGCATTTATTTTTGCAATTCTTAGAAACAAAAACAGACTCAGTGAGGAGAGTCCAAACTATGGACACATAATAACAAGAATATAGGAAACACTCTATAAAAGATGACTAGCTTGTAAATATGTTAAAATAATAAGTACACTGTGGCAAATACAAGGGGTTTACAGGCTATTTACAATGACTTATCAATATGTACAGTAAGTGTCCTGCTGTGACAAAGGTTTGGATCAGTTCTCTCAGTTATAACTTGGAAACAAAGGAAACATGTTTGTGTTAATTATCTTTCACAGGTGTGTAAACAAAATCAGGAATATAAGGAATATTACTACTATATTCTCAGACATTTCTCACTCCTGTATTTTTTGATCCATTACATTGAATTTCTTTACTATAATTTGTCTATCCCAGTCATTTGGATCATTGCTATTGTTAGTATGAGCTGTCGTGATATGCAACAATCTCTGTCATGTCTACTTGACAGTCTTCCATTTCAACAACATGACTGGTCACGCAGCATCTTGCATCATCCTCTTTCCCTCTCGCAGTCCTCCAGGCCGGAGCGTTGTTGATAGGCATCTCTGGTGGAGTCTGCCCCAGTCTGCTCCTGCCTCAGACAAAGTGCCTCCATTGGACCAGTGCTGCTCTCTGGGAAACACTGCAGACACCCTGGCCCCTCGACAGTCGCTGTTGTATGTACTGTATGTGTGAGTCTGTATGCTCCCACACTGAGGACCCTTGTGCTTCCCGCTGTTTTAATAAATGGGATTTGTAAACTCATTGTGGTAACGACAGAATGAACGCATGTTATAGTTCTCTTAGTCTTCATCACTGGCTATATGGAATTATTATAATGTGTTTATGTGCATGGGGCCACATTGTTGCCTGTGCGAAGGAGGCATATCAAGATGGTCTCAGACTCAGACGCATATAGAACGCTGCATAAGTCCTTCTTTATATCTTTTCTTGGCATCAGGGAATGCTCTTGGGAATGTTTGGCTGCTTTACTTTCATCATTCATTGTGAAGAGGGGGACGCACTGGACAAAAACTCTGGGAGGAAATCAGGGTACGTGCTTTTATCAGGGGCCCAGTGTACTTCAGGCCTGACACACACATGTCCACTTACACACACACACACACACACCAGCGCTCTTCCTGTACCTGACCCCTCTGTGACCCCCACAACTTTCCAACATTTAAATGCAGTCAAGGAGGCTATTCTTTGCTGGACTCCGTCCCGCTGATGGTGTGTGTGTGCGTGTGCGGGAGCATGCATTCCATACGCTATCGCAACAATCACTTGACAAGAATTATATAATTGCAGCCTGTGATCTCATTTTCCTCAAAGAGCATTTTGATGTTCTCTTTGCCCTTTTGCTCCTTTGGTTTCCTCTATTCCTCCACTTATTTTGTCCTTAACTGACTCACTTAGCTTTTCCTTCTAAAGTTACTACTACTATTACTACTTTTACTTCTAAAGATATACAGTATAATGACAAAGCTCTCATATACTAACTAGGTCACTTTTTTAGACTATTGCCAAGGCAACTTTTAGAAGTTTAACTTTACCTTCATATGTTACTTACAGTAATTCTATAGTTTACACACTATTTATTTCCTAATTCTAATTATAGAAGTAACTAATCCCTGAGTAAACACAAAATGTGTATAAACACATCAATACAAATAAAAAGTCAAAAAAAAAAAACATTTACTTTTGAGCTCATTATTGGTGGTGCTGCTGCTGTTCCGTTTCTGCTCAATAGAGGGCACAATTGATCTTATGTACAAAGTGGTGTTCATGGACATTTCTGTATTTTTACTTATTCCATTTATGCTGTAAATGTATGCATGCTTAACAGCTGTTTAAACAGTGCAACACAAAAGCAGTGAGTTATTTTATTTTTATTATTTTCTTGTCTTTTTTACTGCTATATTGACTTATCAATGGGAGGCAACAGATTCTAACAACGAAATATATTTTATGTCTTGGACCACACTACGCTGTGTATTCATTTCAATTTAAGAGGATAAATGAAGATATTGCTGAATATTATTGTCATTATAAGAACATAATTGACAACCTTTCTTCTGCGGGTTAATTCTAAACCTTTTAACTGCTTGAACGGTTTACATATTAAAAATCAATACAGCTAACTATAAATAGATGCATCTAACTAACTGATGTCTTATCATATTAAATTACATGTTATTACTTACTCTTGTATTTTTGCATCATATTATTCATTTTTGACAGTATGAAGTACTTTTGTCTTTCACCCCCAGAATAATGGAAAACAAAATGTCTGACATAAATCAAATTCTATGAAACGTATGGAGCCGTTAAGGAGCACCTCTCACCCCTGTGGTTTGGCCGCTTTGTTGTCACTGCCTTATCTCTGATTGACACCTCTGGAAATGTCCCAGGAGAGGCACAGATTTGCTGCAGGATTAAACTAATTTACCAGATGATTGAATGTGAGTCCAAAGCCGCTCTTTTGGAAAAAATGCAAAAGGGCATTTGACCAACCCATTCATGGGGCATGATACACAAACGTGTTGGACTGTATGTACAAATACATTGTAAACATTGCATGCACTTTATTTTTATGTATTCATTTCTCACACATTTCGGACAAAGTTTGGCGATTGTGGACATATTGGTTTTCTTGACATTCGGTCTTGCTGTGTAGGTTTTAAAAGCAGACAGTCTGACATCCCAAGCAGCCACCATCTCTGGATTTGCCGCATTAGCAGCAGACGTGAATCATCATCAGGATATTGAGCAGATGGAGACAAGGAGACATGGCTTTGAGATGACAGTAAAGAGGAGAAAGACTCTACTTTTTCTGTGGTGTATACAGCAATTTATTCACCACACCTCAATATGTGAAATTATGTGAGCTTTTTTGTGTCCAAACCAATTTGTGCCTTAGGGACTTTTTTAATTGGAAGACTGTAGAGAACACTTACACACTCCCAAGTGGTGTACAAAATATTTCATTAATTAACATGCAAAACAGGCAATGCAGACATGCATAAATTGCAGTGACAGCAGAAAAGCAACAAAAAATGGGCAAAGAATGGAGAGGAAATTTGCTAGAAAATGTAGCTGTAAGCCGGCTGAAGATCTTATTACATAGGCTAAAGATAGAGATCTCAGATGGAATAATACTTAGCACATGCTGCCCTTTTAATTAAGCAGTAATATCTGCAGAGAGGGGTGGAGAGCCAAATCTCTCTCCTCTGTCTTCATCTTCCTCAGTCTATCCGTCATATCTATGTCTCCCATCTCTCCCCTCTGCCTTTTTCTCTCCCAATAATCTGCTGTAATGGGATGGGCCGCTGTGCGGCATGGAGGAGGACAGACACTTTTTTGAATCTTGTTAAAGGTGTAACATATGTTTGTGTTTCTGCCTCTGTGGCGCTGGCTCTTCTCCCTGGTGCTGGCCTCAGGCTCTACTTTGAGGTGTGTGGAGTGAGTATTTTGCCAACTGGAATACAAACGCCTGAGTGCAGGTATAGAGAAGCCTCACCAGTGGGCGGTACATGGGCACCTTTGGACACTCTGTCCTGGCCCCATGAGCCCTCAGGCAGTGGAGCATCCTGGCTGTGATGCCTCACAGAAGGGTGGGATAGGAACCAGTTGTCCAAACAGGGCAGTTCATCCTGGTGGGGTCTGCTCATCGGCCGTCTCACCATGGGGCAGCAGTCGGGACAGGCTGTGGCGTCAGGCCCTAAACCTCATTAAGTGCAGGCTCCAAAATGTTTTCTTGTCAAATACAGCAGTATTAAAGCCCCCTTTGTTTAACCCTCAGTGTGCTTGTTCCATCATGTTATGTTTAGGCTCAGAGATAAACACTCTGTTGTAGTGAGGGCATATGATCAGGATAAAACAGTTATAAACTAAGAAATACTTTCTGATATATATGGAATAATTCTTTGTGTGTGTATTTAATCTTGCATACTCTCTCTGTGCTCTTGCAATTGTACAGCATGTTTCACATAAAGCCTTTATTCAGATGCGTTAACCATTGCTCTTTGCTCCATACAAGTGCAAATTGAGTTAACACTGAATGTTAGCTTATGTCTACACAGCCTGCCGCCTGTGTCATTACTGCGCTCATGGCAGCCCCACAAGGACACATATTAATCAGCTGTGAGTGAACCTTACTATGGAGAAAAGACAACAGATCAGCTCAGTGATCACAAAAAGAAAGTTCTCTCTCAACACACACAAGCGCGTGCACACCCACACCCACACAAGTGCACACACGGTTTAGCCATTGCACCTGCAGCTCAGAGGGCATTGTTCCAGCCCCCTCCCTCTCACTTCTTCTCTCTGGAGTAAAGCTGTTTTGTGGCTGCTCTTTTCTCTTTGCAGGCCTTGGCCTTTCCACCAGGCACACCCCTCCCTCCCTTTTCTACCCGTTGCCTGGATGGTTGCTCTTTCTGGTAGGTGTGGGGTGCCCCTCGCCTGCCGGACTGCAAATACAGCTGACAACGGGCTGCTCACGTGCCGCACTGCAGGGCCCCAGACTTTTCTGAAAGTGTGTCCAGAGAGCCTGGGCTGAGAAGAGTGCAGTGGAGGGGGATCATGCAAATGATTGTGTCACTCCTATAAATACTCAGGCTTCAGACCACTTTCAAATATTTAGTTTGATTGTCCTATAGTTTAAAATGAGGATTTATATTATTGAAAGTCATGAAAAAAGTCTTTGCTTTATCATTTTGGACAAAAAACGAAAAACATGGGATTAAGTAAAATCTTAGACATTAGACATACAAAAGCTCTCCCAATGCAGGCCTTCCATTTTTTTTTTTTTTTTTTTAACCACTGTGAGGCTAGTTATTTTTTATTTTCCATTGTGAGCCACTGAGAAATACATAAACACCTAATTGACTGAGGAGATTATTATAGACCTGTATATTTCAAAAGTGTGTTTCATCTGCTCTTTTCTGTCCTTGGATCCAATGCCATTTTGCATTGCTCTCCTCTTTGGCTCCCTGTCCCATTTGTCACCGCAGCCGTATTGCTCATTCTCACTGATCATCCTATCACAGTGCTATTTTTCATATTTCTCATATCCGCTCCCCTTATCTTTCTTGCAGCGCCTGGGCCAGACACGCAAAGCTAATACAGGCTCCTAATACGTGCACAGAATTCAGCAGTCAAGATCACAGTTGTGTGAAATACATATAGATTTCATACATTATTCCGTGTTTGCTTGTAATAGGTTTGGGCTTATCCCATTACCAATAACTCAGAAGATAACGCTCGAGTACACATTGTTGATCATTGAGAAAGTGGATTTTCCAACTGGAACACACAGTCCAAACTAATCTCATCTGTGCAGAAAATAGGAAGTATTTATGAAACATATTTGAATGTTTGTCTTTCACTAGCCACTTGACTATCAATTCGTGCTTTGATGCAAAGTCAGATGAGTCGTTGCTCTTGCCATGGCTGTTTCTCTGCATTTGTGCATATTGTATTTGTGATGGATTGACTCCTGTCTGAGTGGTTTTACTGGTATTCTAACTGATACAGACCCTGCGTGGCTGCTTCTAACATACTCCCACCACCCTACAGCCTGCCTGCCTGGCCTGCTTGGCCTGCCCTCCTCTTTCCTTGGCTCCAACTGTTCCGTCCAGGGGGCAATAAACTGGTTATCTCCCCCTCTCAGATCCTAATCTGACGGCCCGCCGCCCTGCGTGCTGCCAGGTGACCCGGGGTGGGGTATGCAGGATGGGGGTGTGCTGGCTGTCAGCACCATCTTAACCCCCGCCTCTGCAGCCCTCCCCTGCCCCGGGCTCACACCCCAGTCTCCCCCTTTCTCTTGTTGGCCTCAGTCTCTCTCTGCACTTTTAACAATTAATCCCACTATTGATCACAGCGAAACTCCAGGAGGCTTCAGGCAAAAGGTTTGGCTCTTTTCAGGTCAAATGCTACATCAACAACGCTGTTGATAAACTTAACCAAAGCCGTTCTACTGATGTGGCCTGGTGCAGCAGCCTGACTGGCAGACTTTGAAGATTTGTGTATAAATAGATTATTGATAACGCCAATGAGGTGGTATAAAACTTGCTTGTATTGAGCATTTTGGAGGATTTTGAAATGTGTCATTTGTTTTGCATTTTCTTGTAGTTTCAGTCATACATGACCCAAAATTCAGTTTAACACTACAAAACCAGCTACGCTTCAATACCACTCATGGGAGAATCTAATAATATATCATTTTTAAGTCATATATGTCTAATCTGGAACGTTTCATACCTGAAACACACTTGTCCCTTACTTTTTTGCTGTTCACAGTATTGCACTGTCTGTAAAGAGAACAATTCAATAGTTTTAAAAAGACCAGCAAAAAATCATTACCTTTTCTTTCACTTTCATTCAGACCACTTCCAGAGGAATGTTTCTGATTGCATATTTGGCATTGATTTGAAATATGGGAATATGGAATTTACCACAAAATGTATAGTGATGACATTATTGTCCTACAATATATCTTTGTCTGTTGTTGAACAAAAAATATGACCTCATTAATAAATTATTACAGAGAAAGTGAAGAGACACTGGAACATCATCTGAATTTGTGAAAACTGCTTCTGTTTGTTGTTTAGGCGAAGCAAGTTTATTTGTATTGTATAATTCATACACAAGGTAAGTCAAAGTGCTGAACAAAACAAGATAGAGACAGTCACAAAATAAAATAAATCATAGAATAAATAATAACAGCTAAACAGAACTATTTTCAAACCTGGATATGAGTATTGTCAGAGAAGAAACCTGTCTCACATTTTCAGGAAGACTGTTCCAGATTTTATCTGCATGAATCTGAAATGCAGCCTTCCCATGTTTTGTTCTGACTCTGGGCCCCTGCAGGAGGCCAGTCCCTGTGCTCCTCAGGGTCCGGGTCGGTTCTCATGGCACTAACATGTCACCAATATATTTTGGTGCGAGGCCATGGAGAGACTTGTAACAAGCAGAGCTGTTTTAAAGTCTATTCTCTGAGCCACAGGAAGCCAGTGCAGAGACCTGAGGACCGGACTAAAGTGGCCGTACTTCATTACTGCAGCGGTTTTACTTTAGGAAAAACACATCCGACTAAATACAGTCTTTGGGGTTTCCATGATGACCACTGTCCTTTATTGATGACGATCCTTTTCGTGCAGCCACAGAGCTGAGGGTCTTTGAAGTTGGGCGCAAGGCGAGTGTTTGGGTGTATGGGCAGGAGCTGGGACAGACGGGGGCACAATGTGATGGAGTGATTACTCTCCTCTTGCTCTCCTGTCTGCCCTGTCATGAATGCCGCTCTTATTCTCCCTAAAAGGCACATTATGACGTATAGAGAGTGGGATATCCTGGCCACTGACCCCTGCGCTGGGGTCAAGGGGAACAGGGGGCAGATGAAAGAGAACATAATTATGGACGGGAGACAAGAAGAAACTTTGTCTCCAAACAACTATTTTGGTGGGAAGAAGGCTGGTAAATGTGGCAAGTTATGTCCTTATCGGGTCCAGCACCCATCATGTGAAGCAGAGGCTGGGTTCTGATTGGCAGCCCTCTTTGTAATCTGATGGCGATTGGCTGGATCCCGCGATCACAGGAAGTGACAGCAGAGCTCCCACAGTCCCACTGCTGTGAGAAACACAGTCCTAATGATGTGTGAGGCTTAGTGTGTGTGTGAACTCATGTATTGCTGCTTGTTATCTACTTATTTTTTCAGTATGACTCTATAACTATTTGTCAATGGACATTGGATGTGTTTCCACATCAATACACATTATTAAAAAGCCTTTTGGAAGTAAAATGAATACTGTGCAAAATTTATTTTTAAATGTCGTAAATGTTTCCCATTCTGAATTGCCTTAATTGAAGTTGTTTTAGACCAATTCATGTGTGTTTTTGTTATTAATTAATATTATTATTATCTTTATTCTCGTCAAACATTATTGCTCTGACAATATTGTTCTCACTATTGTTCTTGTGCCAGAATGTCAAAGTGATGCATATAGAAAAGGAGAGACACCCATTATTAGCAAGACTCACGGCTTATCGGCTAATTTACAAACAGCCTCCATATTTGGAATTCCAAGAATTTGTTTCATTTGCATTTTGCAAAAGATAAAATCAAACCTGTTGCTAATAGTAGCGGTATTTGTTGTAGGAGCCGTTCAGGGACCTGGTCGGGTAATAAATATAGACTACAACTCAGTAGTTAGAATACATTATACATTACAATACATTATGTAATGTGCTTAAAATAAGACTTCTTATTTTAGACAGTGACGGAATACTTAAATCAAGATAATTTTTTCCTAATTCAAGCGATCTTAAGCTTATTTTGAAATATTTTGCCCAGATCTGAATGACCAGGAAATGGGGGAGTGAGGAATTATTGCTCATTCTTTATAGATTATATCTTTCAGATTATTTTTATGATTAAAAAAAAAAATCTTAGGAACAAGAGATAATAGTCAAATAAAACCAGCCCTTTTGATACAAATATGATTAGTGTCATGGACCAAAAGGAACTCCATGTAGTGTAGATCAACATTTTAACGGGGTGGCTCGGTGGCTGAGTGGATAGGTTTCTTCCGGGTACTCCGGTTTCCCCTACCACTAAAAACATGCACACTAGGTTAAATCCTCCAGCTCCGGTAGTCCTGACAGAAGATCAACATCTGGAGATTCG